GCCCGCCCACATTATTTAGAACTTCCCCGAGCCGGCCATCGTCCTTCCCCAGCCCCTCCGCGATCGCACAGCGTCGGGTTCTGCCTGCGCTCACTGCTCCTCGCCTGGAATCGCAGCGTCCTAGTCCATCCTTCCTCAAGCTACGAGCTCCTTGTAGATAAAAGCGGACCTTTAGCCATCGTATCCGTGTCTGACAAACCATGACGCCGAGTAAATGTTTGATGAGCAAATGGATGAAGTTCAGGAATTAGTAAGTCTGGGGTCTGTCTTGGGCCTGCTCACCGCTCAGCAGAAGATGACGGTGAAAGGAAGTTGTTTCGGCCTCACAAAAGCTGTCTCAAGATTCTGACCTCCACATATACTAGGAAAAAATGGAACTTCTGTAAATTCTGTTAACTCTGAGGTGGAGATCGCTGAAATGCTCCTCTCAGTGTATCAGTGGCTGAGAACTGCCCACTCTTAGGGTCCTAGACTTAAAAATTCAAAGCCCAGTTCTGCTGTGAGCTAGCCTGTCGGTTTACCATCTTCCAAGGCCTCAAGGTCTTCATCTGCGAAGGGGAATCATAACACTTGCTATGTCAGCCGGAGAGGCCTGTGTGAGGTTCCAGTGAGTCAGTAGATGAAAATGTTTTGTCAGCTGTAAACTCCTATACACATGCAAAGGCATTATGATTAATTAATTTTTTAATTGATTTCAGAAAGAGGAAGGGAGAGGGAGAGAGCTAGAAACATCAATGATGAGAGAGTCATTGATCGGCTGCCTCCTGCAAGCCCCCGACTGGGGATGGAGCTCACAGCCTGGGCATGTGCCCTGACCGGGAATCAAACCGTGATCTCCTGGATCCTAGGTCGATGCTCAACCTCTGAGCCACGTTGGCGGGGCACAGTTAGTTAATTTTTTTGGAAAAAAAAAAAAAAAAAAATTTGTTTTGAGACAGCAAAACTAAAGACACACAGCTGATAAGTGCTGCAGCTGGGATTTGAACTCAGGCAGCCTTGTGGCAGCGTCCAAATTGTCACCACCCTAAATGTCCTCTCT